TGTATGTTTCCATTGATGATGATAGGTATCAGCCCAGCGAAATTGGATTTTAACTCATAATATGTGTATAAGTCGATTTAAATATCATGAAAAGTAATTTACTTACACTTCCTGGGAGTATTTAGGAAAATTAGCAATGCAAAACGTCTAACTATGTTAAATAACATGCATCTATGTAAATAACCATGTTAAACGTCATGCATATATAAATTGTTTTTTATTGATTTCCTAATACGACCTACGATTCTGTTTAATAATTTAAAACAATGCAACTTGTATGCGATTAAACTTTTGATGAAACGAACAAAGAATATGTTATGAATTAGTCTTATATACATATGACTGTAAATCGAAGTTTTGAGGAAAGTCTATCACAGATATTTACCAAGTCTCCTAATTACGTTTAGGCGTCGTTATATGATGTTACACTACATCAATCTCGATTTACTTTAATTTGTGGATAATTTTTTCCATCAATATTGTGTTCGTCTGGGGAAATCTACAAACTTAATGTTTGTTGAGCAATTGCAGGCATATATGACAAACAAATCATGTATCACCGAGATTTGTTTGATTTATGACCGCTCTGCATCCTCTATTTCTTAGACTGCCTTGTCAGAATTATATCTCATTGAAAACTTTTTAATGTAGAGATATGAGGACCTCGAATTTTGTTTTTGATATTTGGTCGAATCTACAACAAAAGCCAGATCCCCAATCCTCCTCTCCCCAGGCGGTGTAAGAGCAATTCGCCGATTCACCCTCACTAGGGCATTCACCCCCTCCCCCTAACAGCTGATGAGGGGAAGGCCAATCGATCAGATCTCTAACCAAGGGTTTCCCTTCAATCGTTACCCTTTAAAAATTATAAGTATTCTCTCTAAACTAGAGCACCGCAGTCGCTGTCTTCAGTTACGTTCAGTTATATAGCACAATAATAAGCAATGCACATAAAATAGTTGTTCTATAATATATGCATACATATAATGTATTCGCTATGATTGCCTCTGTACTGCTGCTATCAGAATAATCTATTTTATTCTGTCTCGTAACTTAAAGCTTCATCTTCTAATGTACATGATATGACTAATATTTGAACTGTGGGGTAGTATCCAATAAAATCCGTACCAATAACAGTAAAACCTGAAAAAAATAATATATTTTCATTATTATTGCGTCACTATTAAAATGTGCGAGGACTAAAAATTACGGATAGGTAACTAAGCTATATAACAATTGACTCTGGTGGCCAGTGGGGACACCAAATGTATCAGAGATAACCCTTTAACACCGTTCAGCGACGTAAACCTCGTGGTAGCGATCGTTTTAAGCCTCTGTTTTTGTATTCGGAACGAAGGCTAGCTAACCACACCCGTGATATATCACTTGGCCAGACAGCACGTACTGTAGTATTTGATCATACCACAAACACAGCGCCAGCGCCACGGCCCAACCTTCTACCAACAAATTTTTTTTTTTCATATTAAATACCCACCCACATTAAATCAAAAGTTAAAAACCAATAGTGTCTTAAATTCTTACGGAAAGTAAATACAGATACGTCTTATAACACTTAAAACATATATTTACGCTTATACTACTCACAAGACGGTAAATATACAAAAGATGGTAAGTGGTGGTCGATTTCGATTGGTCTGATGATGATTGGAGTGTCCAATCGAAATCGATCACCACTTACCATCTTTTGTATGTTTACCGTCTTGTGAGTAACAGTATAAGCGTAAATATATGTTTTAAGTGTTATAAGACGTTTCTTTATTTACTTTCCGTAAATTTAATAACACGTACAATACTGATCAAGAAGTTATTTAAATTCTTATAAACAAAATATTGTAACTCGCTACTGCAAAATACAATTGAATTGTCTGGTTATATAGATACCAAACCAATATAACTTGAATCACTAATCGTTCATCAAATTAATCAAATACGAATCAATTCGATGTGGTAACAGAACTGAATCTGTTTAGTAAAAAGAGTAAGTAAGAGTATATTAAAATTTGATCGATGTTTTATGTTCTTTACAAAACCTTTTGATTGTTAGCTGTTCAATCAACGGTGCTGTTAACTGCTGTTACAATCAATGATTGAGTTTACTTATAATCACTGAGGGCCGCACATTTTAAATTTAAATAATTAGGTACCTAAATCGTACATTACTACAACTACTTTGTAAATCCATTTTGATAATCCACAGGGGTAATGTACCATTCCTACAAGTTGTGTGTATTGTAAAGATTGCGAGAGTAAAGACGAGATCTAAAAATGGGCTAAAACGGGTAATGATCAGCAAAGACCTCAATGTTCAACAAGACGTAGCCTTTTCATGAGCGTAAGCATAGCACTATAACATGGAGGGGCCTTTTTAAGGGTGGAAATGGAGGGTGATATAAATATATGGCAATGAATGTAACAGACAAGAATATTACTTCTCTTGTCTCGTCTGTGTGGAACTGCACTATAGATCATTTCAGTACACATGACATTTCACCATGTATTTCAAGTCTGTTACATCTGTAGAAACAGTAGGCCTATATCGAAAAGTGTTGGAAAACGTATTATTATATGGTATTCATAGAAATTTGCATATGTACTTTTGTAGTGAATATAAGAGTAAAATTTAAATTCTGACCAGATAAGTCACAGGAATTTTACAGTATGTACAATTTTACAATTATTCGCTAAAATTCAATAGCTACAATATTTTGTCTCATCGTTTTACTCTCGCTGCTCATGACCCGCGAAATATTTTATTTCTATTTTAATACGGTAACCTAAAGTTCAACGATTAAAGGATATTTGCGGGGCAAATTTTAAAATGTTTCAAGAGGAACACTGTTATGTCACACCAATCGATATGATGATGGTTACACGGTACATACACAACACGAGACACGACACAAAACATTTAAGCACGTGCACGGCTATAAAACTGGTGACTGACTGAACGAGCCTTCACAGTATTTTAGTTTAGTTTTCGTAGTTACACCCGATGATGGAGTAATCTCCGAAACGGCCGTAGTGTTATTACCAAGCAAGGATTGCGAAGACAGTAAGTACCTGTATATTTATTTAAGACAATTTAAAACACAACCGTTAGAGGTGATCAATTGACGCTAATGCTTCAGAGATATTTACGTATTAACATTCCAAAACTCGCACCCTCAGTTATACTGTATTTCATGTAGCAGACGATGAAACTTGCATGTATAAATCAGAGGCAAAACGCGTGTATTCTAGTCCTAGTCTACATGAGCGATGTCGTGCGACGCGGCCTTAGATTACACGGAACAGAGAATCGATACTGCAGAGGAATACAACTGTTGTGGCCAAGCATATAACTACTAGTATATACCACGTTAACTAAGATTATACGAGGGATACACTTCGATTTGTAATCTCTATATTCAAGCTAACTGGAAAAGACTAATTTTGAGCAATGTTATTTATTTATGCCTAATGGACATGACCAATTTCATGTAACCTAGATGACGATTTGAAATTATGAACATATATTTTTACTATTGTACTTTTACGTTTTATGTTCCCTAGAAGCCACAATTGACGTTCGTTAAAATCTGGATGAATATGTGTGCTTCACACTACAGTATCTTGGCGGATCAAACTCTTTAACCAACCCCTATTATACAACGACAAAAAACGTGTTCTCTTTTTCGTATATTTGTTATTTCAAAATAATTTTCATCATTCAACTAGCTTATTAAGATTAAAAATCTGTGTTGACTACATTTTATATACGATTTTGTAGGTTACCAAAATAATAAAAGTGCAAAACTATGTATCCTCATTACATGTTAAATTTTTTTTAAATAATTGTAGGCCTTTAAAATTGAATAGAAACTAAAATTTGTTCTTCTTGTGGCAGCAACCCTACTCGAGCCAATATTGTTTGTGCTATTTCGGGCGTGGATCTAAGGGTAAAACTCCTTTCACACTCAACTTGTTTGAACGAAAATTTTACAAAGCAGCTGAATACTCGCTTGGTCTGCAGATTTGCTGTGTAGGAGGAGTTTCTGAGTATAACTGTGACATTAAAGCTATATGAAACAAAATCTAGTCATCATATTGGCAGCTGTACTTTTGTATTGGGTATATTCCTTTACATTTATTCACTTTTTCTCTTTACTGCATAACAGGATTATCACCTAAGTGAAAACTATCAACACCATTGGCCAAATAAATATGTATGTGGAGAAGAAGTATTCGACAAAATTACCCATACGTTGTAATCTATAGACAGAACCCCATAAATCTTTTAAACATAGTTTTTTTATAAAATATTCCACACGGTGCTATAAGACATCATAAATTCTTTCATTGCATGATAGTACAGTAGACAAAATACACAATTAATTATTACAATAAAATGACATGAACAGACACTTAAAATGTCTTTAAAAATACATGTTTTGATCATATAATGTATTAAATCGTATTTAATTTTTATCCCCGAGTTGATTTTAAGATTGTATTTGAGGTTTTATATTCCGTTCTGCCAATGCACCTAGCTGCATCGCTATTGTTTCATTAATTTCATTTCCTTAGTTAATTAGTTTCCTACTTGAACTGGCAGTAATAACCATTTAAGGAATCCTTTATAAAGGTGACCGCTTTTACGCCTGTATTAAACAACACTTAGTTACAAACCATATTTTATTCTATGTTTTTTTTAATTAAATTATATTTTTACTATCGAATTAAATTAGTTTTATGTAAGCTGTTTGTTTCACAAACTTATTTTATTACATTTTCATTCGTGAATTAGTTATAGTTAAATGATAATGTTCATGTAGTGACAGTCGTCGAAACGGCCTATTTTTTATTTGGTTCTCTTTAAAAATTATAATTTGTTATAACTAATCTTACGATTGATTTTTCTTTTATTAGCAATGTGACGAGCCTTGAGACCTTCCATTGACACCGCCGGCCGGCTGTCCTTCTACTTGAGTAAGACGTACCTTGTCGACCGGCATCGAAGGACAAGCTCGGCACAGGTTCCAGAAGGTGCCAATCATGAGGACGCCGGTGATCTGCGACGACGACGATGTACCGAACACTATCAGGTTATCAAGAGTACTGACTACTGGTGCAGCGGCCGCCAATAGCAGGGATCGATATGGGCGTCCCACCCTCACCCGCTACGCTGCGACAACCCGACAGCCGACACACTTCACACTACAATATCTTATCAGCTGTTTTGCACATCTTTGGCACTCCGGTTCAAAAAAAAAATCATTATACTAACAGCATCAGCCCTTGAGGTTAGAATCAATTCTTAATTTACCACGCTTAAATATTCACATCCCTATCGACACACAATTTTTTTACTAATTTTGATGTATTTATTTATTATACAGGGTGGGGCAATGAAAGCACCCCAATTTATAAGTAGTACAAACTCAATAAAGTTCACCCTATGGATGTAAATAGGACATCAAAACACAGCTTATATCTTTTGCCATTTTAACTTAACAAAGTCATTTTTCCATTTCTTGAAAACAAATCCTGCAATTGACGTCCTTGTCCTACTTGACATTCCTTTTTAGTCACTTGAAAACTCCATCAAATACTCCTCCAGCATTTCTTCAGAAATCACTTTAGTTTTTGGACAATTCTTAGCTTCGGTTCAAGCAAATCTGTGGGGTGACTTTGAAAAACCTCGAACTTCAAGTAGCTTATTAGAATAACCCCCCCCCCCCCAAAAAAAAAAAAGTAGTCAACGTAAAGGTTTCAACAACAAAAGCTTTCTGGCAAATCTCTTTGGACTTTGAGTTACTACGATTCGACTCGCACTCTTTCAACATTTGCTGGTGTACAAAGAGTTTTGTGGCACCCACCGATTATTTTTATGGTTTAAGCTGTTATCCTAAATAATTTTACCCAGTTCACCAGTGTTTTTTCAATCTGGAACAGCGCCATGTTGACCAAGGATGGAATGTGGTCCAAACAATCTCTGGGTTTTTGCACAAGAATCACTATTTTAAAAATAGGTTTCCACATCAAAATCTCACTGTTAATAGCCTCAGACATAATATTTACTAAAATGGCATAGTTTAATTGATGTTATAAGCACAGCTGTTCATTCATTGTTGCTTTACTAATAGTGTGACAAGGAAATAAAATTGGGGTGCTCTCACTGCCTCACCCTGTATAAAATTTAAATGAGCCAATGATGACTATACCTACGCATATAGGGCCTTCATCCTATGTAGGCATATTTCTTGAAATTTATTCGTTCAACATCACTTTCTTTAAAACCTCTACCCTAGTTTAAAATGTTTTCGCCCATTTAGATCTAATATACCTATTTTTATTTTGTACAGTTTTCAAGGGTAATTTTGTAACACTGGATGTATACGTTATTTTTTGTTATCCTTATCCATGTACATTTTTGCCTAATAAATTATACTTTGAGATTGGTTTAGGCCATATAATTACCGTGTTATACATATTCAATATCCATATTGTACTCAACTACAATATTTGTAATGTTGTTGTTGTTGTTAAGCAACAAACAATATAACATCTTTCCATGGTTTGTAATTGATTGCTATTTCTATCCATCACATCAAAAAAGGGGAAAAACATGACAATTCCCAATTTTCATTACAGCTATCAAATAACGTTGTATAATGAATTTGTTGTGTGATTGAATGTTACGGAGAAATAAAAAAACTGTACATATTAAAATTCCATGTTTTTCTTAAGGATAAAAAGAAAACTGCTCTAGTTTGATTGTTTATGTTTATTTTGATGTAATTTGGTAAATATATTTATTTCTACCCATACCGGTAGGTACTATTAACATTTTAACAAGAAAAAACATTTTCCTTCTCTGTAGCAGCATATACCTCACCTAAGTAATCCTTAAACCTAATATTATTAATGTATAACACCAATCTGACATGTTTAAGGAAATATTTTTGTAAAATCCAATCATGCAAATGGATGTTCACTTCCACTTGTCTGCAGGTTTGCTGTCACGGTGTTATTTTGACTTGTTATTTGGATTCTGTAATGTTAATTTTTAAGTGAGGTGAAAATTTGGGTTTGTTGGTAAAACTTTTGCAAGCACTTGACTTTTTTAAGTGCTTGACTACCATACATTTTTAACGTTAAACATGATTGGAGGATGGATGTGTGGAGGCTAAGACCCGAAGCTGCTCAGGATAAGCCGGCGAACAGAGGCGATGCTCCATAGGTGGCTTCGGCCAGAATGCATCAATGATTTCTAGGCTAGTGACCAGGGGTCCAGAGGTGGACCCAGCCACAAGTCCAGCTTACGGTCTCCAATTGGGGAGGCGCTGTGTGGTATGGTACCCGCAGGGCTGTAAGCTGACCAGGATCTTCCTGGTACCAGGGGTGCAGGTTGCCCCTGCTGCGGACACTTGTATGTGCAGTAGTCCTTCAGCTTGGCGTTGGTCTCTCGAGGGTAGTGGTTAAAGCCGAAGAAAGATCAGTAGTTCTCGGCTTTGGCTAAGGATGTGTGTCCGTCCACGCAAATGACGGATCGGGGGCAGACCCGATAACCTGTTTGAGAGGACTTGTTGCTAGATAGGGGTCCCACACACAGGTCGTAGCCCCCTAAGATGTCCCCTAAGGAGTCAAGATGGTAAGCCACCCTGCTTTCAATGTCGCAAACAAGAGACTCTAATGAGAACCTTCTTCTTATTCATCAATGGTATTACCACTACAACCTTTGCCATTGCTTATGCTACAGAAAACATAGTTAGCCTATAGGCAGGGGTATTTAGCAGGTCGGCTACATCGGCAACACTATCTAACATCAGCAATTCAGTTACAGAGGGGTCAATAAGTAAGGTCTTGGATTTGATAGTGATAGGATGGTCCTCGAAGAAGGAAAAATAGGATTGTATGATGGAGTCGTCAAACCAAAGGGATGTGGACATGCATTTGGATGGAAGCTTGTCAAGTAATGATAAACTATCTAACTTAGATGATAGGTTCTCATTTTTTCAAGCGCTGCCTGGAGTTGGCTAGTCAACGAATTTGAACACCTTTCCAGGGCCAGATTTCCCAATAGGCCCGGTAGGCCTGGGCCTGTGGGTGCAAGCTCCCAGGGGGCGCACGACTGAAGGTAAACTATTTGTAAAAACATCTAGAAATAAAAATAAATAGACATAACTTAACATATTTTGCAAATTGATTTTAAAAATCTGGCTAATAAAGCATTATGATTTTGAAACTCATTGGAACAAATAATTGTTGTAAAGTTCAGCTATTTTTTACATTACGCATCAACTTCGTTACAACATTGGCCTTAAACACGAGAGAAGGGATGTTGTCGAGCAGTATGCATCGAATTGCCCAGTGCCACTGCCACTGTGCTGGCTCGGCGCTACTACTGCTGGAGTGATTGGTTCTATACGAAACAAACAGAGCATTGCTGATTGGAACATATTCATGCCTCTATCTGAGTGGTCCGCAGCTGCGTACCCTTATTGGCTGTCGTCCAATTGTCCATTCTATAAACATTCTTTACCTATAGCTGGTGGCCCCCCAAAGTGGTTAGGGGCGCATGCCATGTAAAATTGTCGAGACACTGTTACCACCCTCACCTCGCAAAATGAAAACTATAAACCAATCTTTTAATAGCTTTCAATCTGCAGGTACAGGATGAACTTAAAATATAAGTTGTATTTAATGTAAAAAAAAAACTAATAGTTCGTCTTAGAAATTAAACAAAAAAATATTAATCTGAGTTAGCAATAGGTTGAAACAATCCAGAATCAATCCAGTTTTGGTTTACTCAAATCAATGTGAACCCAGGCAAGTTCAAAAACTATAGAGTTGAAAATGGAAAACTTTTTCGCAAGTTCCCGAAAAAACGAGGTATTCAGGACCCAAATCTTGAGTGAAAACTGTGTGTATCGGATGGCGAAATTAACCAAGTTTTAACCGAAAGTCATGACGAGTGCACCGCTGGGCACTTAGGGATTAATAAAACCATCACTAGAGTGGGAGATAGATATTATTGGCCAGGATGGAGAAAATATGTCAAATAACACGTACAAAACTGTGACAATTGTCAGCGATACAAAGTGGAGCAACGACAAACCGTTGGTAAAATGTATTTTAGACCTATTAGAGGACCGTGGTACCAAGTTACCAGTGATATTATAGGCCCCCTTCCAAGATCAAGGAAAGGCAACAAATATCTAGTGGTTTTCCAGGACATGTTTTCAAAGTGGATAGAGATTTCCCCGTTGAAAAATGCCACTGCTCAACAAGTCGGACAAAAGTTCACCGATTTAATTCTGTTTAGGCATGGTGCACCAGAGGTTCTGTTGACAGATAATGGAACCCAGTATATGCGTCAAAAATATTTTCGAAGTTAACTAAAGAGTGGAACATTAAACATATTTTCACCGCACCATACAGTCCACAAGCGAATCCCACAGAACGGGCTAACCGAGTGCTTAAGACTGTCATAGCACAGTATGTGAAAAATGACCACCGTGATTGGGACTTGAAACTAGATGAGTTTAGATTTGCTATGAATACTGCAAAACACGAGTCTACGGGGTTTACTCCTACAATGCTAAATTTTTGCCGAGAGCTAAGAGCACCCAACCTGGTATATGGTCCATCACTGGATCATAAACCCCTGCTGGACACTGGTGGTTTTGATGCCGACACTCACCTCAGTAGGCTAAAGGTCATGGAACAACTGCGAGCACAATGTCAACGCCATGCTAAAGCTGCATTCCAAAACTAGGCGAAATACTATAACCTGCGCTGTAGAGATAATCCATTCAAAGTGGGTCAAGTAGTTCTAAAACGTAACCACATACTGTCTTCCGCACCAGACTTCGTTGCTGCAAAGCTTGCACCAAAATTCGTGGGGCCGTACCAAATTGACGATAAGATGGGAGCCAATATGTTCAGACTCAAAGATAAAAAGGGAAAGATTATAGGTAGTGTGCATGCCAAGGACCTCAGACTGTATCACTACGCAATAAAAATACTTATTCCCAACCAAATTAGAGCCCTTCTTTCCGAACCTCAACTTCCTTGGAGACAGGCTGAACCCCAATTCCTGAGCATGTCCATTATTCCCTACTCAAAAAGCGTACTATATCTGCTTTGCTTTTGCATGTTGGCATGGTTAATATTTTGTTCTAGATGAGGCCGTTGATCAAGATCTCCG